AAAAAAAAAAAAAAAAAAGAACAACAGGAGCGCTAAAGTCTTTGAAGTTTGAGTTTGTAAGGGTTCCTTAAACTGGGAAAGCTGGTGCCAGATGCTAAGATCCGGATTCGGGTCCAAGGGTGTCAAAAGTCAGCAGCACTGGGGACAACGAGGTGACCGCCGCTTCCTCTCTTTGGGCTGGCGGTCGTAGGAGGCGGAACAGTGACAGCTAGGGCCTCCCGGGCTAAAGGACTTTAGATACTGCAGTGTACACAAGTGCAGCCGGCTTTAGGTGCAGCGCAGCCCTAGTCTCGCGACATTGGGGGGTGGGGCCATAGCTCCGGAAAGGGGCGGTCCTCGGACCGCCGCTAGGAACTCTGGGATTGTGGGTCAAGCGGATGGGTACGGTCCCTTGTATGAGGCTCCTGGGCTTTGTATATTGAGTCTGGCTCGGTCCGAGCCCTGACGTGTGGGCTCAGTACATGGAGGGTGCGTGGGGCTCACCCGGGGGACGGGGACTCGGGGGTTGAGTGGAAAGCACACGTCTGCCCGCGTGGAAGGCCCGGGACGATAAAGGCAGTGGCAGGCGGCCGGCACCCATCAGCGAGGTAGGGCCTCCGACCTCGGGCTGCCGCTGGGACTGAGCGCCTTAGTGCAGGCACTGGGGAATGGGAAGTCACGGAGACCTTGCCCTGGAGAGGCCAGTGCTCCGAGTTGTGGTAGGCAGCTGACCCTGCAGTGTCACTCTAGTAGAAACGCCGTAAGATGAGGGCGTGGTCAGGCGTGTCTTCCTCACTTTGCCATTTTAATACACGCCCTTCCCCGAGGAGGGAATCAACCAAGGCCCAGGTGAGTACAAGCTCCTGCTCTCCTAAAGTTATCGTTTTTCAGAGCGAACAGATACGTAGACTCATCACTGCCTTTGAAAGGGGAAGGAAAGCCACGTTAATGTGCACTGTGTTTTGGCCAAGTAGATGTAGAAGGATTAGCCTACCAATTCTACACTCTAAAGATGTGCCGGTAGCATCAGAATTTTATTTAACGTGCCCAGGATTATTCAAGAAACAAGTAGCATAGTAGGAGATTCTACTGGATTTTTCAGGATTAGTTTCAAAATCTGTGGACTCTTGATGCTGACCTGGTGATTTCTGAACATCTCATTCTTTTTCACCTAAAATTTCTAGCTATACCTATGCACTTTTAAACATGTATGTTCACATATGTTAAATATTTAATACAGATATTAATAAATATTTATTAGTTTTGTTTTTTTTCTAGACAGGGTTCCTCTGTAACAACACGGGCTGGAACTCACTCTTGTAGACCAGGCTGGCCTTAAACTCAGAGAGATCCACCTGCCTCTGCCTTCTGAGTGCTGGGATTAAAGGCGTGCGCCACCACCGCCTGGGTCATAGTAGGCCTTTTTCATCATAAGATAATTTCTTACTGAGAGAGGAAAAAAATTAGTGGCAAGCACTAGTATCGTGGCTAACACCAGTTTGTAAAAAGAAGATCATTTATCAGGTCATAAGGGTAATGTGTGTGTGTGTGTTGTTTTCTTTTTTTTTTTTTTTTTTTTTTTTTTTTTTTTTTTTTTTTTTTTTTTTTTTTTTTTTTTTTGCTATTTTTCTGAGACATTGTCTAATGTAGCCCAAGCGGGACTCAAACACAACTCAGCTTCTCCTCCTTCCATCTCCCAAGTGCAGGGCATACAGGCATGCCCCGCCACGCATGGCTAGTAAGGGTAAGTTAAAATTCACTAAGAGCTTTTTCTCATCATTAATATGTCTCAAGACCTATAGTCATTAATGATGGTGAAATAATATTCCAAATCTGTGAGTTTTGAAGTAAAATAGGCAAACCTCAGTGAATTCAAGGCTAAGAAAAATAAGATTTGCCTAAATTCATCCACAGTGTGTTAGTGGCAGACCCATGAAACAAACAAAAATGGTTCTGCTGTCAGTGGCACATTGCTTAGTTACCTTGTGCAGTGTCTAGGATTCTATCTGTAGAAGTGAAAACAAAAAAAGACGTGGGTGACTGGAACATGAATACCAAGACTCATAAAGTGTCCTCATGTTTACTAATGGGTCATAAGTAAATTGGCGTCTTAGGGCTGGGGATGCAGTTTAGGAGTAGAACATTTGCCTAGCACACATAAGGCCCTGGATTCAGTTCCCAGTACTGAAATGAATGGATAAATCAGTCAACCAATATCATGCGTGGTTCTTTTAGTCTCAGAGGAATGTACAAGTCTTTGACGATGTTTGGTACATTACGTAGGTCCCTCCTTGTTCAGTCTAGAACTGTACCATGGCTGAGACTGGGGAAGTGGAGACAGCGTCGGCAGAAGCCTCAGGGTTCTCAGACTTGAGTGACTCGGAGTTGGTGGAGTTTCTGGACCTGGAAGATGCCAAGGAACCAACGGTCCCACCTAGCAAGGCTGGTCCTTCTTCTGAACTCCCTGAAAAGGATGACAAACCTGTAAGTTTGAAGCCCAGGAAAAATGGACTGGATGTCTCGTCACCCATGGAGAGATTCCAGCTGAAATACTTATATGTCACTGACCTGTGTGCCCAGAACTGGTGTGAACTGCAGGTGGTATATGGAAAGGAACTTCCTGCTTTCTCCACACCTGAGAAGGCAGCTGTTTTGGACACTGGTGCTAGTATCCACCTAGCAAAAGAGCTAGAACTTCATGATCTTGTGACTGTCCCCATCACCACTAAAGAAGACGCTTGGGCAGTCAAGTTTCTGAACATACTCTCAATGGTTCCTACCCTCCAGTCAGAAGGGCGCATCAGAGAGTTTCCCGTGTTTGGGGAAGTGGAGGGAGTACTTCTTGTTGGAGTGATTGATGAGTTGCACTACACAGCCAAGGGGGAACTGGAGCTCACCGAACTCAAGACGCGAAGACGCCCAGTGCTCCCTCTGCCAGCTCAGAAAAGGAAAGACTATTTTCAAGTTAGCCTATACAAATATATCTTTGATGCCATGGTACAAGGAAAAGTGAATCCTGCAAGCCTAATCCACCATACAAAATTGTGTCTAGACACGCCACTGGGGCCTTCGGTGCTGAGGCATGCCCGGCAAGGAGGCTTCTCTGTGAAATCTTTGAGTGACCTCATGGAACTGGTTTTCTTGTCTCTTACACTGTCTGATCTCCCAGCTATCGATACGCTAAAACTCGAGTACGTCCATCAAGAGACTGCTGCTGTACTGGGCACAGAGATTGTAGCCTTTGACGAGAAAGAAGTGAAAAGCCAGGTGCAGCATTATGTGGCCTACTGGATGGGCCGCCGAGCTCCTCAAGGTGTTGATGTGGAAGAGGCGTGGAAGTGTCGGACCTGTGACTATGTTGACATCTGTGAGTGGAGGCAGGGCCGTGGAGTGCTCAGCTCTTCACTGGAGCCCAAAGCCAAGAAGTTGAAATGAATGGAAGTTATGTTTTCAGAAATGTTGATCATTTCTGCTCTTAATACTCCCGTGTGAAAGGATCGGTCTCTCAGTTGGATTTTGTGGATAAGGTTTTTATTTTTCTGTCCCCGACCTTTAATAATATTCCAATTGGGGGCCAAGATCAGGAATGAATGGAGAGATTGGGATTATAGTGACCTTGCACTCTGAGATGAACTGCAGAGAAGACAGATGTGTGTCATGTCTGCAGCAAGGGTGTCCCTCACTGATCACTGTTTCCTCAAGAAAATTACTTGGGTTCTGACATTTTTTATTTTTTTCTTGATGCATTTTTTTTACATTTTTCATAATAAAAATGAAATGCTCTCTAGAACTATTGAATTGATGTTTGTGTGTTTGCTGATCTCAGTCCTTTATAGATGACCACTGTACTTCACGTAGTTGTGTAGTCGCAGTCTTTGAAGATGACCACTGTACTACACATAGTTGTGTAGTCGCAGTCTTTGAAGATGACCACTGTACTACACATGGTTGTGTAGTGTCACAGGCCTTTAAGATCATGCATCAACACTTTAGAAATAGGGCTAATAGAGCAAGCAGGCCACGAATTTAAAATAAGCATAATTAGTAGTCCTAGGTGATGCGAGAAGAAATCAGAGAAGTGAAAACATTAGATGAAAGATATATATATGGAATAACAGTATTCATACATTATATGATCTAATAGTATCATTCCTGGGCATATGTCAAGGGAAATATGTATGCAACAGGAAATATGAAAAATATACTTTCACAAATACAGAAGCCTAGAAACTATCCCAGTGCCCGTCACCAGTGAATGAAATGATATATATCAACCGGAACATGAGCCGCAATGGTATGTAACACGGCATGAATCTTAGCAGCACCAGGTGAAAGGGTAAGTCCTAAAAGACGACAGGCACCAGGACTTCCTTTTTCATATAGCAGAAAACCAACATTTTAAGGAAAATGTTCTGGGTAAATTAGATTATAGTCTGTCTCTTTAAGGCATTAGTCACTCTAGGAGGCCAGGGCTCAGCCTGAAGACAGGAGACCTCATCCCCTCCTGGAGTTGACAGGCCACTGCTGGAAGGATTAACACAGGTTGGGGTGGGGAGAACAAACCCTAGCTAGAGGAAGGAAAACTAGCTATGCTTTCCCTGACATTAAATTATGGTCTGGCTCCAGGTGAATTTAATCTACATAGTTTCCATAGCAAAGACATATTACCTTGTAGCCCCACCCACTAGGAAAACACTGTAAACTAAGCTCTGCCTTTGTTCCCCGGAAATGCGCACATCTTTCCTGTCAGCTGACACTGGAAGTCCCTGGGTGGCCAGAATAAGGAACCCACTTTGACCTGGAATTTGCCTATCACCTGTCTAAAGAACCTGCTCTTTCTTCAAGGTGCCTTGAACGCCATTTGTCTATTTAAAGGGGACACATTTTCAGTGTACCGTAAAACGGGAACCCTTATCTCAAGCATCACCAAAGAAGCAGGAGAAACAAACTGAATGGCTATCACCTGGGAATTAAGGATATGATAGAGGCAATGTTGGGGAATTTGTAAAAGTCAGTGGATGGTGTGTGTGTTTTCAATTCCTCATACCTACGTAGTGGAAAGAACCAATTCCTCATACATACATAGTGGAAAGAGAACCAAATATCCTGATCTCTGCACACACTAGATGAATGTAAGTTTAAAAAAAGATTAGGCATTATAGTAAGAGATAAACTAGCTAACCTTGGAGCTGGGGAAACAGTTCATTTGGCCAAGTGAAGCATGAGAACCTGAGTTCAATCGCTAGCATGCGTTTAAAAGTGGGTGCAGTGGGCAGGAGAGTGATGAGTACTGACTGGGGAGAGACAGGCAGGTCATTGAAGCTTTGTGGTCAGTCAGTCTTGCCAGTTCCAGGTTCAGCAAGAGACCCTGTCTCAAAAAAACAAAGTGAAGACACCTGATGTTAACCTCTGGCCTCCTCACACATAGTGTGCACCTATGGGTAGGTATATGTACATGAACACACACACTTGGAGATTGGAAAAGGAATGATGATTCTCCCCACCTACTAAGGAGTAGCCAGCGGGCCAGGCATTGTGCTAAGCACTGTGTGAGATAAAAACCTGAGACTTAAAAGGGTTAAATTACTCCTCCAAGCTCCTGGTGCTCATAAGTAGCAGATCCCAGCCCACAGCTGTCTGAAGGCAATGCTTATGCCCTTTAACGTTATGCTCTAGTTTTCTTACTAATCTTTGGGGCTGTATAGATTGTGCTGACTCCAGAAGGGTTTAACGTTTCTGGTTTTATCTGATTTTGGACTTACCTTGATCTATACAGATACACTGGGGGTGGGGCCAATCTCTAAACATAAAATTCATTCATGTTTCATGTGTATCTTAGAATGGTTTTTGTTTTTGTTTTTTAAGACAGAGTCTCACTATGTAGCCCTGACTGTTCTGGAACTCACTATGTAGACCAGGATGGGCTTGAACTCACAGAGATACACCTGCCTCTGCCTCCCCGAATGCTGGGATTAAAGGTACACGCTACATCCCACCCTAAATGAGAGAATTCTTGATTCAAACAGTTTAGCCTTTTGATGTTGCAACATGATACTATCATCTACAATGTTCACACTTGAGAACTGCATAATCAAGTTACAAAAATCTTTTTTAAAAAGATTTATTATGTATACAGTGTTCTGTCTGGATGTTTGCCTGCACATTAGAAGATGGCATCAGATCCCACTATAGATGGGTGTGAGCCACCACATCGGTGCTGAGAACTAAAATCAGGACCTCTGGAAAGAGAAGCCAGTACTGTTAACCACTGAGCCATCTCTCCAGTCCCAAATTACAAAAACCCTGAATCACAGATCTCATAATATTTTAAGTAAGTTTATGGCTTTGTTTTGGGTTGTATTCAGATATCTGCGGGTACACACAGCCTTTGGGCAGCAGGTTAGACAAACCTAAAAGTATACAGTGATGTGGGATTGCCCTCTGTATGCTGTGATTGCCATTAATGAATAAAGAAACTGCTCTGGACCTATAGCAGGGCAGAAGTTAGGTAGGCCAGAAAAACTAAACTGAAACCTGGGAGAAAGAAGGAGGAATCAGGAGAGAAGCCATGGAGCCTCCACTCCAAAGTGCTGACACTTTGCCTGTAAGCCACTGCCACGTGGCGATACACAGATTAATGGAGATGAATTAAATTAATATGTAAGAGTTAGTCAATAGCCAGGTGGCAGTGGCGCATGCCTTTAATCCCAGCACTCAGGAGGCACAGGCAGGCAGATCTCTGTGAGCTCGAGGCCTGCCTGGTCTACAAGAGCTAGTTCCAGGACAGGCTCTTAATTGGGGCTTCTATTGCTGTGACCACAGCAACTCTTTTTTTCTTCTTCTCAGGGTAGTTATACATTCTTTATTTTATTTAGAAAGAAAACAAACTGTCTTTTTTTCATTTTACATATCAATCCCCTTCCCATTCCTTCCTCTCCTCCCATTTCCTTCACCTTTTCCCTCACCCCATCCCCCTTTCACTCCTCAGAGAGGGTCAGGCACATTGCTTTGGGAAATGTCCAAGGCTCTCCTTACTATATGTAGGCTGAGCAAGGTATCCATGCAAAGAGAACAGGTCAGTATAAGTGGTAGGGATAAATCCTCCAGAAGAGGGCACCAGACCTCATTACAGATGGTTGTGAGCCACCATGTGGTTGCTGGGAATTGAACTCAGGACCTCTGGAAGAGCAGGCAATGCTCTTAACCACTGAGCCATCTCTCCAGCCCCCTCCAGTCCACTTCTTGTGGCTTCCACTAAGAGTTTTAATTGCAGATTCGTCTTTGGAAGCATTTTCTCATTCTTGGAGCTCCCCTATCTCTGGACAGGGAAGAGACTCGGACTGTGGAGTGTGGTGAGTGTTCCTCTAGCCAGATCTTCACTGTCATCCACGTATCCACACAGGAAAGAAACTTCTGGTGTGTGAGGATTGTGGCCAGGGCTTCAGTCAGAGTTCCAGACTCCATGCCAGCAGTGTCCACACTGGACAGAAACTTGAGTATGACCTGTGACTGAAGGTTCAGTCACAACACCAACTCAGAGTTCACACAGAAACTATTCCACCAGAGTTCTAATTCTGCAGTTCACCAGAATTTACAGAAGAGAGAAACGGTGACAAGGTGCTAAGTGTAGCAAGGACTTCAGTCAGTTCTGATCGCCACGTGCACTAGAGCTGTTGAAACACAGACCTCCATGCTTATCACCCAAGTCCACAGGAGAGAGGCTTCAGGTGTGAGGGTGTCTGGGAGTTTGCAAGCACTCCCTGCAAGTGGAGCTAGAGAGACTCCACAGTGTGATGTAGAGTAAGGGCTGCGGCCAAGGCACGGCTCTGGGACTATGAAAGAAAAACCCATTCAATGCCACTGCGATGGTAAAGGTTTCCATTGCAAGAACCTTTGTGTGATCACAGTCTCCCCAGGGGAGAAAGCCTGAGAAGTGACCACTGGTCATCACTTCCATCCATTCCACACGGGAGGAAGAAACATATATGAAGCATGTGGTAAGGACTGCGCTGGAGCACACAGCACTCTCTCTAGCTGAGCTCTGGTACCTCCCAGTGACTGAGCTCTGTGGAAACTGCTTCGTGTACTCTGCCCACCTTGTGGTGACTATGTGCTGAGCGGGAATCTGTCTGTGAGAGACCCCTGCTACCACCGTGATGAGTGTGTGGAGGTCTCCACAGTCCGCACTTTGTACGTGCACATGCAACCGTGTATGTGGAGGTCAGAGGACAACTTGAGGGAGCGTGTTCTCTCCTCCCACCACGTGTGTCCAGGGACGGAATCCAGGGCCCGCAGGTGCGGCACAAGCCCCTTTACCCAATGAACCGTCTTGCTGGTCCCACGCTTTGGAATTTTAATCATCTATTGTGCAGTAAAGATTCAGTCAGGTTATAGGTTTCATCCTGAATTACCCCTGCAGGAGAGGAGTCCTACTGTGTTGATAAATAGAATAATCAAGTCAATAAGTGGTACAATAAATTGAAAGTCCATGTCTAGGCCAGAGAGATAGTCAGTGGTTAATAGTGGTTAAAAGTGTTTTCTACTCTTGTAAAACATCCAAGTTTGGTTCCCAGAACCCTACATTGCTCACAGTGGCCTGTAAACCCAGTTCCAGGGAACCCATGCTTTCTTTTTACCTCCAAGGGCTCCTGCACACATGAGGTGTACATATTCTCAGGGACACACACATATACATAAAATTTAAGAACGCATAAAATAAAGTTTGTCTCCAACACAAAGCAGTCCACGGCACCTGAAACTGCCAACTGTGAAAGCTGTTTTAGAAAATTTTCCTGGTG